TACAATCTAAAGTGATAATGGAAATATGTGTTGTACACGTTTGACCACTCATTGCTGCCTTATCATTTTAACTTCACGACCCTTTTCTATTTCCCTATCTACGTTTGTGAATGAAAACAGTACAAAAATTAAGTGCACATCTTTTATGTTTGCTAAACTTTAGCCGGTATGAGTTTGGGAGAAATCAAGGTTGTTTGTGGCAGATGCTAGCAGCTCCAAACCAACTTTTGTTATTGTGAGTTTCTTGTTAACATATGTATGTTATTATCTGATGCCATGTGAAACTGTTTTTGCTCCAATTTTTCTACCTGAGAGTAAAAATCAATTATGTGTATACAATTAAACGATTTAGTGTAATTAGAGATTTACATGTGCGTTATGGTGTGCGAAGTAACCATTTGCTGAATAGTAGGAGTGATCCTTCCCAATTTCGGAGATCCTTCTGATAAAAAAATAAAATCTATTGGTCAATTTCTTGAAGTGCTTTGTCTTGTAGATTACGAAGTTTCTCAAAATTCAATAGTATTACATGAGGTGTTGAATGTTATCTCATTCAATACTATCTCATTTCTTGAAGTGCTTTTTTTCCCCCTCATTTTTTTTAATTTATGAAGTAATAAACTTCCTCCTTGTTTCTAATTTTTTTAATTAAATCTTGTTTTATTTATTGCAGGTACTGCAATTGATCAAAGAATTGCTTACTTTCTTATGCTGGTGGCGCTGGCAATTACATACATGTTCCATTGATACCATGTAAAGGCTATATAAACACAACAATACTCCAATGTACTTTATATTGTATCAAACAGCTTGGAAGTACAACAAAACTATCATTTTTTTTCCTATTCGTCCTTTCCTTTTTTGGCATCTTATTATTGAGGAGTGGTTCAACATCACACAAGCTCATAAGTGTACAAATTTATTTAATTACCGAGATGATGTTAAAACTTATATTGTTCAGCATCCAAAAGAAAAGAAAAACTGAAGTTGTTGATCCAAATGATGTATATATTTAGTTCTCACAAGCACCCGCAACTTATGGTAGGCCATATCTGGTGTTGTTGGTTTTCATAACCGATTCGTTAATGTTCCTATTGTACATATACCATACTTAATTCAACATTTATGTGTGCAATAACAAACTTTTTTTATGTTAAGGTAGTGAGATAAAATATAAGATGGACTTACTTAAACTTAGAAAGTGCCATCACAGGTCCAAATATTTCATCTTGTGCTGTTAGAGTTTAATAATAGTGTTGTCCTTAATAATAGTTTTGTCCTTAATTTATAAAAGAATAGAAAAATATAATATTTACCTCAATTTACTCGAAGCTAAACTTAAGCAGTAAATAAGTTCTCAATCAAGAAAGCATAACATCAGAAACAATGAACTAAATTTTTATTATTTACTGGGAACAAGAAAGTAATACATCGTCACATTTGAAAAAACTTTACAGCATAAGAGTATCACAATGCAAACAATTTTTCTTCCACAGTTCATCATTAATTTTTCTTTTACAAATGAACACCAATGAGCTTCTCAAAATCTCTTTGAGCCTCCATGTTGTGCTCTAAACCAGTTGTGTCCTTCATCTCATCAAGTTGGAGTCGTGCTTGGAGTCGAGCATAAGCAATGTCTCTCCCTCGTCTTTCCTCTTTTATTTGTCTCCAATTTAACAAAGTCTTCATATTATTATCAACAGCAATAGGAGCAGCTAGTTCATGACTAGTTTTCAAGAATGATTTTTCAACACTTCCCTTTTCCTCTTGCTTGTCTCTCCCTCGTCTTTCCTCTTTTATTTGTCTCCAATTTAACAAAGTCTTATTATTATTATCAACATCAATAGGAGCAGCTAGTTCATGACTAGTTTTCAAGAATGATTTTTCAACACTTCCCTTTTCCTCTTGCTTGTCTCTCCCTCGTCTTTCCTCTTTTATTTGTCTCCAATTTAACAAAGTGTTCTTATTATTATCAACATCAATATGAACAGCTAGTTCATGACTAGTTTTCAAGAATGATTTTTCAACACTTCCCTTTTCTTCTTGCTTGTCTCTCTCGTCTTTCCTCTTTCATTTGTCCCCAATTTAACAAAGTCTTCTTATTATTATCGACATCAATAGGAGAAGCTAGTTCATGACTAGTTTTCAAGAATGATTTTTCAACACTTCCCTTTTGCTCTTGCACAGTTTCCAACCTTATCTTCTTGTCAACCTCGCTAACTGAAGCCCTTGAAGACTTTTTGGTATCAAAGTTTTTTGACGAATAAAGTTTTTCTCATAGGCATGCATCCCTTTTTCATATGCAGAGACTCCATGGAGCTTTGAGGTTTGTTAACATCCATGATAAACTCGAGAGGAGGCTGAATTAAATTATAAAAATTTAAATCATTATCACAATAATAATAATATGCTTTAAAAGGAAAAAGAAAACACATAAAAAACACACACAAAAAATATTAAACATAATAATGAAAAAGAGCATAAACAACTTACATCTAATTTCTTCTTCTTCTGCATAGCTTTGGGTCTCCTCTGAGCATAAACAATATCGTCATCGTCATTCTCACGCGAATCTGGGTCTTCTGCACAGCTTTGGGTCTCTTCTGAGCATAAACAACATCGTCAGCGTTCGTCATTGTCATGCGCTTATGGGTTCCACACTTCAAGAAAGTGGAAGGGGACGTGAAAGTGTGAAGACGGTGGTTTGATCTCATCATGGGATCACTCGCATCCACCAAAACCCTCAACGCCATCAATACGGCAAGAAAAAAAATGGGAAGAAAAACAAGAAAACAAGAATTGCATAATAGAAAAAAAAAAAAACTTTTAATGCTGAGCACGAAGGAGAGCTGAAAAGTTTCTCGGAAAAATTGGAGAGATCAAAGGTTGTTTGTGTGTTTGCTTTTGTGATTTGCAATGTGTGTTTTTGTGTTTGCTTTTGTTGCCGGAAAAAAAAGGGAAGAAAAACAAGAATTGCAGAATAGAAAAACAAGAATTGCAGTGTTGAGCGCGAAGGAGAGCTGAAAAGTTTCTCGGGAAAATTAGGGATTGGAGAGATCAAAGGTTGTTTGTGTGTTTTGCTTTTGTGATTTGCAATGTTGTTTTTGTGTGTTTGCTTTTGTTGCCGGAAAATTATACCGTTGGAGTGGAGTGAGCGGGAAACGAAGCGAGGAGCCAGCTTATACAGTTGGAGATTTTTGAATTTTTTATATTTCTTTCTTTATGTTTTTATCATTTGCTTTGAGGATGTTTGAGACGATGTTCTATTTATATATAAACTCGAGATTACTTATTATTTTGAGTTAAATAAAATAATCAAGAGAAGGCTAATGAATCTTGTTCTGGGATTGTCATATGGAAATAAATAAATAAATATAAAGATATTAGACAATTAGTATTCTAATGTGTTTGTTTATTTGTATTCTTTACTTTTACTTTTTCATTTTTATTTTGAGTTAATAAATAAATTAGCTTTTCAAATATATAAATTTTATTATTCTTTTCGTAGACATTAAATAAGCTTGACCTTACAATTTTTTTGAAAATCTATCCAAAAAGAGATATGTAAAAACAAACCTTCGGGGCTTTTGCCCCTCTTTATTACAAAAAAAAAAAAAACAAACAAACCTTCATAATAAGAAAGGCATGTGAATTTTAACAAGAAACAAATTATTTATTCCCTAAGATATATCCAATGATTAGTTCACCGGTCAACGACAACTTTCAGAAAGTAAAATGAAAATTCATCCTGTTTATTTTAATTTCAAATTTATCCTTATTGAAATTTACATTTTTTATAAAGGTTTAATTTTTTTTTTTAAATTCTTCTTCCTATTCAATACTATTTTATATTTTATATTTCATTTGAGAAAATGAGTAATGTCTCGAAAATATATGTCACTATAATTAGGGTGTGGATGACAATCATTTTGTTCCCTGACACTATTTATGATAAGAAATAATTATTTTCTATTTCTGTGTCTTGGAACAATTTCTGAGAATAAGAAAAATGTGTTTGATAACATGTTATTTTTTTTTTCTGAGAATAAAAATTGCGTTTGATAACACAATCTATATTATTTCAGACATAATTTTTATGATTTTTACCTATTTGAACATGACAATCAATCTATATGTCACGTGTCTCGAATAAGAATTGGCTTCCTAATATATATATATATATATATATATATATATATATATATATATATATATATCATAACAATTTTAAAATGAATTTTTTCAAAATATAAACCAAATGCAAACAAAATTTTCAGCAAAATTAATTCATTCAAAATTTACTTGAAACACACGGAAGCTATTTTTGGTTGGTCTGAAATGCTCTTTAAATTTGTATCATTGAATACAATAAATATTCGAGAAAGAATTATGTGAGATATATAAATTATTTTTCTTTAAAAAAAAAGTTGCGAGAGGATGTTATCTAATAACTTCAATGAAATTGTGTGAGAAGTCAGAGACTATAAATATTCAAAAATATAATTTAATATAATGAGTCATTTGAATAGTTTATGGGTTTATCATCTATCATTTAACATAATTACAAAAAGTTTCCTACACACAACATTTTGTGGGGCTCGCAGCAAAAAAAAAAAAACTCCGGCACGCAAAATAAATCTCTATAACATAACACAATCACTTTTCCTTTCACATAACTCTTATAAATCCCTTTAGAATATATGTTTATTTTTCATATTTTATCCAAAAAAAGAAATTGTGTTATGCTTTCACTTTCTTCCTTCCTTCATTACGGAGCTCACTACAGCTACAGCTACAGCTAGAACTAGAACTAGAACCCATTGTTCCCTTCTTTCAAATGCAACGAGCTTTCGTTCCAAGTTCCCTTTTTTCTCCTTCTCATCATCATCTTGCACAAGAAGCTCATCTGGGTTTCCTTCACTTTGCACAATTTCTTCTTCTTCTTCCACAGATGAGGCTGAGGCTGTCACGAAAACCATAACTGGCAATGGTAATGGTGAAACTGAAATCATTATTAAGGATGCAGCGGGTTTACTTGACATAAGAGTTGGACCCATTTTGACGGCATGGAAACACGATGAGGCTGATTCTCTTTATATGGAAGAGGTTGATATTGGTGAGCCTGAACCCAGAATCATATTGTACTAATTTTGTGTCATTGACTCTATTGTTCAATAATTGAAATGATTTGTGTTATATAAGGGCTTCAATACTGATAAATCATAATGGTAAATTCTGAATGTGTCGTACTTTGGCTATTTGGTGTTCTATTCGTTGAGTTCCTTATAATGAAAGAGGGAGATGTTCTGTAAATAGTGTGAGAATGAGAGTGTTAGTTCTGACTTTACATCTTGGTTGGAGCCTCGTATTGTTACAGAGTACTTCAATACTTCGTGGGGATCTCATAAAACTACACTATAGTTGTATTATCTATCCTATCAGTTTGGGTCAAATAGAGGTTGGTTCAGAAATTGGTTAGGGTGTGTGTGAGGGAGATATCGTCCTTTGGAGTTTGGACTGTTTGTAGTGTGTCGGCCATATTACACCATGAACCGTGGGAGTGGATCCTCTCATGTGAAAAAGTGGTCTTGTGGTCATGTTATTTGATCACACCATTCATTTAAAAGTTATACACTTTTTTCTTTCTTATCTCATCATGAATGAATGATTGTAATCAAAAAAACATGACTACATGACCACTTTTTCACATGAGAGGATCCACTCCCTTGAAGTGTAAGTTTGGGATTTGATATCTTTGAGCTGATTCAAGAAAGAAAATAAATGTGGCTTTTATAACAGTTTTAATAACCTCAACTACTTGAAGCCTATAAAGTAAAACCTAAATAGCAAAGTACAATCCATAAATAATCATCCAGGTCCAATTAGAGCACATTTGAGGGAAACACAATATAAAGTACCACCTAATTAAATCTTGAACAAATTTAAAATTTAAACATATGGATACTGATGCTACATGTTCCTGTTCTGAGTATTAGCTGTCACTCAAAGAGCTTTTCTACATTTGCATGAGGCAAGGAAGCATTGACCTTCAAAATGGTTGTTGTACTAGTGTCAGTCACGTCTACGTGTCAAATACCCATCAGATACCATCTTATGCTCCTAGTCTGCATCCTTAAATACTTTTTTTCTTTTGAAATTTTTATACTAATGCGGGTGGAAATTAATTGTTTTTGTTTTAATTTAAGATACATGTTTTTATGTTTATCTTATACTAATTCATATGTTGTATTATATTTATGGCCATGCCATGTCCTATAATTTAGAATCTACAGCATTCCCATGTCTGTGTTATATGATATTCATGTGCCGTGTATCTTATCTGTATCTGATCCATGCATCCTAGGTCAGGGCCTTCCACAAGAGCAGAGAAGGAAGATATACTAGGAATTCAGTTTTTTAGACGATTTGGACCATTTGTGATTTTGTGAAAGTAATATCCTATCTTTGTGTATGGAAATGCATAATTCGAACGATTGTATCAAATTTTAAACTGCTTCACGTCATAGAAGAATTGGTTCAGGTTACTCCCTCTTGATAGTGTCTATAGTTTTAAATCCAAACTTCTATTCATTTGGATAGTTCTTGTATTGTTGTTAGTTGTGGATGAAACTTATCATCAAATTTTGAAATGCGCCTTTTCATACTTCTAAGCTTCAATTTCTGTATTTTTAAACTTACGATCGACGTTATTTACTAGAAATGTACTTTCTTTGCCTGCTTACTTCTAAATTTATGTTTTATTTTTGCCTTGTAATAGAGTCTTTAATGTATGCTTATGTATTTGGCGGTGGTCTATCTGATTTCTGTACCAAGGAAGAATGAGACTTTGATGTCTGACATTGTTGAGAATAACATAAAAGAATTAATAAGACATATGTTTAAGGCAAAAAATGTGGGTTCTATAGACTCATTTGTTCGTTTGAATTTTAGCAAAAGAAAATTGTAAGATGCATCTGTCTTGTTCTAGGTGAGTTTGGTATCTGGAATTTATCAAGCTCCGGGAAAGAAATAATTATTTTCTAACTTTAACTGCTCTACGTGTATCACTTGATGCTTATTAAATTGTGAATTCTGAAGGCAAAACACTTTATTATGTTGTGCATATAATGTATATAATGATGGGTTTGATGGACAAACTTTTGACTGCTGGAATAGTTGCTTGTGTGTGTGGCAACACTTCAGAAATGGATTTGATGTTGTGATATCGGCATCTTATTTGTGTTTTTCTGTAAAATGTAACAAATTTTAAGGCAAATATGCAGGGCAAAAAGATCATTGTTCTTTCCAATCTGAAGCCAAGGAATATGCGTGGTGTGAAGTCTTGCGGGATGCTGATGGCTGCTTCTGATGACAAGCATGAGAATGTTGAACTTCTGTTCCCTCCTGAGGAAGCAAACCCTGGCGAAAGAATATGGTTTGGATCAGAAGATGAAATGGATAATCAACCTGCTGCTGCCACTCCGAATCAGGCAATAGCTCTACTTGAATAGTAATTAATATGATTGCCTAGCTAAATGCGGAAGTTCTAAATTTAGATAATTTATTCTTTCATAAATATAACTAGGTCGTGTTTTAGAAAAAGTTTGTTTGGATACCATAATGTTTATGTGTCCAATAGTAGTTGTCAGCACAAGGTGTTAATTACATATAGAGATTGAAAAAACCCTAGAGGCTTAGACCAGGTGACATTTTTCTTGAAAGTCCCAAAAAATTTATCGCTCGCATATTCGTGTACTATAGAAGACTCTTGAAACTAAACCTTCAACAGTATAGATCGATGATTCTGCTGGAATGAGTGTTGTATATAAATCTTATTACAGTGCACTGTATAAGTGGATGTCATTATCATTTAGATTATTAGTGTTTTGATAAACAAACTTTAGTTTGTTGGGAAAAGATTTATAGATTCAGCAATTTGTGCAGGAAGTTCAGGATCTGAACATAGAGAATTGAAGAATCTATGTGAGGAAGTATAGGCTAAAGACTGGGCTTTTGAGAGCACTGTAATGCAAGAAGTATAATGATAATTGTTTTCACACATATGGGAAATTTCTAAAGGCTAATTGATCAGTTATCTCTATCCTGTCTAATCCATATAGAACTTACTATTCTTGTGTGACAACATGCAGATACAAAAGAAAAAGATATGGGAATTGGTGCAGCCTCATCTTAAGACCGATGATTCGTGTATTGCGATGCTAGGGGTGGATGTCATACTGGGTTCAGTGGCATGCCAGTCATTGCGGAATGCAAATATCTCAATTTCTTATTCTACACAACCGTTCTGGCACTGCCTATCCTGTCTAACCCACTCTTTCGTTTGTTTCGCGTAACCCTCTTTACAAAATCCAGACTCGGCCCTCTCTTTTGCAGCATCCTTCCTTCTTCGTTTGTTTATTGTCTCTCCATCGCAATGGTAAGCATGTGCTTCTCTTTTTTTGAATTGAAAATGTGCCTTCTATTGTTCACTGCCTGATATTTACAGTTTTATTTCACCATTGCTGTATGTTTTCCAAATGATGTTTTTAAGATGTATGTGCTAAGGATTTTTAAGAAAAATTAAGCAATTTCAGAAGAGAAAGAGGTATACATTTTTTTAAAAATTGTTAGATGGCCATGTTATTATCAAATATCATATGATACTTTCCGTTTGTTGTGAAGTTCTTTTTTTTCCGTTTGCAAGGCTATGTTATTCTCCTTGAATATTTTCCGTTTGTTGTATTGTTCTTTTTTTTTTTTTTCCATTTTGAAGGCTATGTTGTTCTCCCTGAATACTTTCCCTCTTTTTCTATTTTCTATTTTCAAGGCTATGTTATTTTCAGTTTCCAAGTACAAATGTATGAAAAATGACTTTACCAAATATGTATGAGGTAATGTGGAATTTAATCTGCACCGCTAAACTATGCTATCGAAGTGCAAACGATAAACCAAGCATACTCTTGACTGGTTATTGATTAGTGGGCAGAAGCATCCTAATGAAAGAAATTTTCAGGCATTTGATTCTGGGTTCTAGTTATTTGTGATAATCCAAGTACAAATACATGTCTATTTCTTGAAGAGTTATTTTTAATTGTCCTAAGTTGTTATAGGTTTGATGCCACTGAGGTCAATGGGTCACCATTATTTTTTAATTTAGAAGTGGGCAGCAGAAAAATTCAGGCTTTTCATTCTGGGTTGTAGTTATTTGTGATAGAAATGTTTTTAATATCCATTATATTTATTGGCAGAGATATCAGATGACTAAATGAGTGGTTTCATCTATATTTGTTAATATAAACTATGTAAAATATTTGAAATGATTAATTGGAAAAATCGCAGTGTTGATTGCGAAAATGACACCATTGTGTTGTGTTGTAAATGTAGATAGGTTTCATCATTTTGGTTTATCCCCAAAATGACAGCTATTTTGTGAAGTTTTTTCATATTAGTGGATCAACTTATACAGTCCATCCAATTGCACACTTGAAAATTTGAGCATACCTTAGCTTTTTGATTAAGTCATTCATTTGAATCCAAAATTTCCTGCTTGTGAAACACAAAGCATGTTGGATGAACTGAAAAAATAAACAGTCACTGAGCTTAAGAGTCAGCAGTCATGTATTCATCATCATCACATATATATATTGTTGTAAATAATATTGATTTAGTTATTATTTAGTTTATTGTTGTATTGGGCCAAGCCCTTTGTTGTATTGGGCCAAGGCCTTTAGGTTAAAAGTAGGTCACATATTCTCTATAAATAGAGAATCCCTTGTACACATTATTTACAATTCTAATATATATCAGAATACCCTTTTTCAAGTTGGTATCAGAGCTCTCGATCTTGAGGGCTCTGCTTCCGCGCCTACGAAACCCTTTTTTTTGTTTTCCATCTCTCGCTGCCATCAGCCGCCACCGGAAAAATTTTCCGGGGACCTCTTGGACCGAGAGATCACTGCTTCTCTTTGTTTTTTCTCCCATCTTCCTCAATAACAAGACCCCAAACTGAACCGTTCAACGTCACCTCCAAACAGAAGCGTTTTTCACTAACCAAGAACACTGTTCATCGCGATAGACCTTCTTTTTGGCGGCCATTCAACTCCGATCAGCCCCAGATAGGTTCGCAATCCTTGGACGACCCTCGCCTGAAAAGCCCAGCCCGATCGGACGTCAGACGCGCCTCCACGCGCCGCTTCTTTCCCTGCGCGTGAATCTCACGCGCCGCCAGCTTCACCGGCGCGTGACAGCGCGTGACGGTTGCTATTGGCTGCGGACCGGTGCAGTCTTGACCGACTCTCCAAGCTCGTTCTGGATCTGTGCTCACCTCTTTGATCGGACCTCGTTTGGTAATTTTTTCGTGATTTTTTGGCTTCTTGGTACTATTCCTTGAGTTGTTTTGCAGTATGGCCGCTTCCGACGGTGATTCAACTCTAAACTTATCTGAAAAAAATTCTACCTCATCTGTGGTGACCCCTCTTGGTCACAATGATCTTCCAAATCTACATCAGAGTTATCGATTTGACGGATCAAATTATTTGTCATGGTCTCAGTTCATTCGTACTACCATCAAGAGTCGCAATAAGATTGCTCATCTTGATGGCCCTGCTCCTGCTGCCACGGATCCCGATTTTGCTGTTTGGGATAATGAGGATTCTCTTATCATGACTTGGTTGTGGAATTCGATGACTCCTGAAGTGGGTCGTCATTGTATGTTCTTGTCTTCTGCTATAGAGATTTGGGAAACTGTCCGCTCCACTTATTCCTTGAAACAGGATATGGCTGCGCGCTATGAATTGCGCAATAAAATATTCACTACAAAACAAGATTCTTTATCCGTGACTGAGTACTATGGCACCTTGAAGGAGTTATGGACTGAACTTGATCAATTTCAGAGCTTGAAGATGAAATGTACTGCAGATGCTACTGCTTTAGCCAAGGAGGTAGAAAATGAGCGTATTTTTGATTTTCTTGCTGGTTTGAATTCCGAGTATGATCCTATTCGGGTTCAGATACTTGGCAAAGAAACTTTTCCATCCCTTTCTGCTGTTTTCAATACTGTTCGAGGAGAGGAGAATCGTCGGGGTGTTATGATGAATCCTGATAAATCTGTCATGTTATCATCAAAAGATGGTGCTGCTTCTAAACCCACTGATGGGTCTGCTATGATTTCAACAAAAAAAGATGGTTCTACTTACAGGAGTTCCTTTCCAAAATATTCTGATGGAGCATCTTCTAGACCTAAGAAAGATGATCGCTGGTGTTCTTATTGTAAAAGAACAGGTCATATGAAGGATCTATGCTATCGCCTCCATGGAAAACAAACTGTCTTAGAAAAGATGGCAAGGATGCGTGGTCAAGCGCATTTTACTTCTTCTGATATAGCTCCTACACCTAATGAGACCCAACCTGCATTTCGTCCAGATGAGTTGGAACGACTTCGAACCATACTTGATTCTCTGAGTAAGCCATCTGGTACTGGTACTAGTGATTTGGCTATGACTGGTATGAGCTCCAAAATTTCTTCTTTTCTTACTTCATGTATTGATTTTAAACATTCTTGGGTTGTTGATTCTGGTGCCACTGATCATATGGCTTGTTGTGCTGACCCCTTTGTCTCTTATAACCCTACCATTGGCACTCATACGATAGCCGTAGCTGATGGCTCCTATACATCAGTTGCGGGTTCTGGTAACATAAAATTACAGCCTTCCTTACATCTTAAAGATGCTCTTCATGTCCCTAAACTTTCTACTAATCTTCTTTCTATTCATAAAATTACAAAAGATTTAAATTGCACTGTAACCTTCTTTCCTACTCACTGTGTTTTTCAGGATCTCGCCACAGGGAAGACGATTGGGGGTGCTAAAGAGCAAGGTGGGCTGTATTATCTGGTGTCACAATCTCCTGCATCTCATGTTAAGGATCACATCTTACTGTCACATGGCCAGTCAACTGCTGATTCTCTGATTTGGCTTCATCATAAGCGCTTGGGACATCCTCCATTTAGTTTACTCAAGTCTTTATTTCCGTCTTTGTTTTTGTCTAAGTCTGTTGAGTTTTATCATTGTGATGTTTGTGAGTTTGCTAAGCATCATCGTGTGTCTTTCCCTTCTAGTATTATTAAAAGTGTTGAACCTTTTGATCTTATTCATTCTGATGTTTGGGGTCCTTCTAAGGTCCCTCATTCTTCTGGAAATAAATGGTTTGTTTCTTTTATTGATGATTGCACTCGTGTAACTTGGGTTTACTTAATGCATGAAAAGTCTGAGGTACCAAAACTGTTCTTTCAATTTTATAAAATGATTGAGACTCAATTTTGTAAAAAAATCAAAAGAATAAGGACAGATAATGGTACTGAATATGTCAATCACTCTTTTTCCCAATTTATACAAAATCAAGGTATGATTCATGAACTTACATGTGTAGACACCCCTCAACAAAATGGGGTTGCTGAAAGGAAAAATCGTCACCTTCTTGAAGTTGCTCGTGCCTTATTGTTTCAAACACATGTACCCAAATGCTATTGGGGAGATGCCATTCTTACTGCAGCATTCTTGATCAATCGTCTACCCACTCGGGTTCTCGATCATGTAAGTCCTATTCATTCCATGACTTCCTTTTTTTCTTCTATTCCAACTTTGCAAAGTCTTCCTCCTCGAGTGTTTGGATGTGTTGTCTTTGTTCATATTCATAAACAGCATCGCAGTAAGTTGGATCCTAGGGCTCTTAAATGTGTCTTCCTTGGATATGCTCCTGATAAGAAGGGCTACAAGTGTTATCACCCTGGAAGTCGGAAATTTTTTGTTTCTATGGATGTTACATTTCAGGAATCTGAGTCTTTTTTCCAAGGTCCTCATCTTCAGGGGGAGAATGATTCACCAGAAGACTCATCACCTTCCTTCTTTGAAACTTCAGTGTCTACTCCTTCACCTGTGTCAGTGTCTCTTCCTCTTGTTCCTGTTCCTAATGTGTCTGTGACTGATCCTCCGATGACTGATACATCAAGTACACAAGAGATACGGAAGATTGTAACAGCTGAATTGGTATATCAAAGAAGGAAACAGCCCACATTGCCTCAACAGCAACCTCAATCGTCTGAACCACTGGTAAGTCCTGAATCTCATATTTCTGATCATGATACTTCTGATGACTTACCCATTACTACTGCTTCTGATGATTTACCCATTGCTTTAAGAAAAGGAAAAAGATCTTGTTCCAAGAAATCTTGTTCTTCCTGTCCCTCTTGTACTCAATACCCTATCTCCCATTTTGTTTCCTCTGCTAATCTTTCTGTGCAACACAAAAGCTTTGTTTCAGCACTAGATTCTACTTCAATCCCAAAATCAGTACATGAAGCTTTGAGAGATGGAAATTGGGCTCAAGCCATGCAAGAGGAGATGAATGCATTGGAGAAAAATAAAACATGGGAGGTTATTGATAGACCCAACGGAAAGAAAGCAGTAGGGTGCAGATGGGTTTATACCCTAAAATATAATTCTGATGGCACTCTTGAGAGATACAAGGCTCGATTAGTCGCCAAAGGTTACACTCAAACCTATGGCATTGATTATGAAGAAACCTTTGCTCTAGTTGCAAAAATGAATACAGTGAGAATCTTGTTGTCCCTTGCTGCCCATTACAATTGGGATATAAATCAATTTGATGTGAAAAATGCTTTCCTCAATGGTGAGTTAGAAGAAGAAGTCTACATGGAAATCCCGCCTGGTTTTGATTCTGTGAAGGGGGAAAATAAAGTTTGTCGATTAAAAAAGGCCTTGTATGGATTGAAGCAGTCA